TGCTAACCAGAAGAGCATCGGCTACAAAATACTTTGATTCAGAGCCAGCAGTGGAAATACCAAAAGCAGCTTGAATCCAAAGGCAACGTAAAATGTATATTGGAGATGTACTAAAAGAACTAAAGTACTGCGAAAAATAAGCAGGTCTCAGCTCAGGCCTATAACAGGTTTCCCTACTGGACATGCACCAGTCAAGGGACTTTCGCACACAAATATAATGGAGCTATTTAGTGAAAACTTAAGTAGCCGAATCTGTATACAGCTATGAATTTCATAGAAAAAAACAAACCACAAAATACGAAAATAAAATAATTTAGACATATTTTCTTCTTTCACTACTGAAAAGTTATGTTATATTTTACAATTAATTAAAACAATTTACACCTTAGACTACCAACAAAAAATCATTAAAATAGTGAAGCCAAATAAATATAAATTATGGAAAACGAAACAAGGTGAAATTTTTTATATAAAAAAGATCAAACAATCTTTCAAGAACGGCTCTAGTATTTTTTAACATTTCAATAAATTAGTTAATTAGGTGATAATAGTGTAACATTTGATCTTAGCATCGGACATATTGAAATTACTGTTTAAAAAATATTACCAAAAAAATAGCAGTCAAAATGTTATTAAAATATGAAAGTAGAAAGTTTGTGATCAACGTATAACATTCACAAAAGGGGTCACCATACGATATACTTCCTCATGATTCACGATCTATATGTACATCAAAATTAAGTACATCTTTAAACATCTCTCAATCTACGGTTATCTTCCATACTATCTATACACTATAATCTACACATGCGAGAAAAAAAATCAAAAGTAAAAAGTCGATTTGTTATCAGATGTCGCTATTGCGTCCATATCGAAGCCATTTTAGTGTTGCTTCTTAAAGAAGAAAAGATTTATTTTTCACGTTGAGAACGCCTATGAATAACTGTTCAGATGAGTCCTATTAGGGCGAAATACGTATAAACAGATACATAGACGCTTTGTACGTGAAATGAAATCTTGACTGTCTGTTTTCATATCATTCTTAAGGATTGTTGTAGCTCAGTTTATGCCGCGTGTCGATTCCGAAAGGCACTCAGGGCAATGAATCGATCATCCCCGAACCTGGTCGTCGATTGTAGCTACCGGTTTTTTAGTCTATCTATCTATACAGCCCTTAACATCCATCCTTGGATATAGGCCTCCTCCTCCTTCTTCCATGCCTCTCTATCTTGGGCAATTTGCATCCTTTTTGACCCAGCGTGTTTCTTCAGGTCATCTGACCATCGCATTTGTGGCCTTCCCCTTTTACGTTTGTGATTCCATGGTCTCCAATGTATAATTGTTTTAGTCCATCTTTCATCTTTCTGCCTTGGGGTGTGTCCGGCGAACTTCCATTTAAACTTTGCTACTTGGGTTGAGACATCTTTCGCTTTTGTTTTATTACGGATCAATTCGTTTCTTTTTTTGTCTGATAGTTTAATGTTCAGCATTTGTCTTTCCATGGATCTTTCTGTCTTTGCTATTTTTTCCACATTTTTCTTTGTAAACGTCCATGTCTGAGAGCCATATGTGAGGAAAGGGAGTATACATTGATTGAAGACTCTCGTTTTTAAGTATTTGGGGTATTTTGAATTCTTTAGAATATAAGACAGTTTTCCGAATGATGTACAGGCCAATCTTATTCTTCTCTTTATTTCTTCGGTCTGATTTTCTTTATTTAATTTAGTGATTTGGCCTAGATATATATACTCTTTTACTTGTTCTATTTTTGTTTGTGCCACTGTAATTATCAGTTCTTCTGGTTGATTAGTCATGGTTTTTGTTTTACTATAATTCATCTTGAGTCCAATTTTTGTCGATTCTCTATCTAGTTCTTCCATCATTTTTTAATTCTTCACTTTTTTCTTTTATTAATACAATATCATCAGCATATCGTAAATAATTCAGATTTTACCCGTTTATATTAATTCCCAAGTCATCCCAGTGTAGTCGTTTAAAAACATCTTCTAGCGCTTGGTTAAATAACTTGGGCGATATGGTATCTCCTTGTCTTACTCCTCGGTTTATTTTAATAGGCTCCGTTTGTTTCATTAGCTTAATAGTTGTTGTTGCCTTGTTGTATATATTTGTAATTAAGTCGGTATATCGGTAGTCTATTCTGCTGTTTTGTAGGGAATTCTGTACTGCCCAGTGTTCCACACTACCAAATTCCTTCTCAAAGTCAATAAATGCCATGTATAGCAGGATATGATATTCGTTAGTTTTTTAGATTAAAATCTTTATCGTTAAAAGGTGGTCACTTGTACTGAATCTCTTTCTAAATCCGGCTTGTTCTCTTGCCTGGTATCCCTCTACTTTAGTTGTTAATCTATTTGTTAATATTTTGGTTAATAGTTTGTACATCACATTTAATAAAGTTATGGGTCTGTAATTCTTTAGATCCTTTTTATCTCCTTTCTTAAATAGTAACAGTGTTATTGCTTCGTTCCAACTGTTGGGTATTTGTTTTGTCATTAAAATTTTATTCATAAGTATGTACAAAACTTCTCTAGTTGTTTTCCCACCATGTTTTACCATTTCTAAAGTCACCTCGTCTTTTCCTGGCGATTTATTGTTCTTCATCTCTTTGAGTGCTGTTCTTATCTCGTTCTTACTGATCTCTGGTTGTAAGTCGGAATTAACATTTTTTATTTTTATTTGTAGTTGCTTAAGGATTTCTTGGGTTGGTTTCTGTTTTGTATTGTAGAGGTTTTTATAATATTCTTGTGTTATCTGTATAATTTCTTCTACATTATTGGTCTCTGTACCTTCTTTGTTTTTTATACTATTAATTTGTATGGTTCCAAGCTGTGGTTTTAAGCACTTCATGTTTTTATTTTGTTCAATTGCTTTTTCTATTTTTTCTTCCTGTACTCTCCTTTTATAATCCTTGATATTCCTTCTGATAACTTTGTTTACCTCTTTTTAATCTACTGTGTTTCTCTTATCTTGTTCCAGTAATGTTTTTCTTTTACTCATGAGATTTTTTGTTTCCTGGGATACATAGTTTTCCTTTTTTATTCTTGTTTGTGCTACCTCTTTTCCCGCCTTTGTTAATGTATCGGTTAATAGCTGATTTATTTCATCGATATTTTTGTTTTCCAAATCTCTAGTGACCAGTATACTTTCCTTTATTTTTTGTTTATATTCGTCTTAAGTTATTTTGCTTAAGTTTTTCCATATCTAGTTTCGATACATTTTCTATTTTCTTTTTTGTTTCGAATTTACTATTAATCCTGAGTTTGGCTCCGACAAGTCTATGATCGCTACCGGTTAAGAAGCGGTTCAGTACTGTAACATCTTTGATGATGGTTTTTTCTGTTGTAAGGAAGTAATCTATTTCGTTTTTTGTATTACCGTTGGACTTATCCATGTCCATTTTCTTTGTGGTTTTTTGTTAAAAAAACGAGTTCATAGCAAAAAGTTGTCTCTCCTTCAAGTAGTTCATTAATGTGTGTCCTCTATTATTTCTTTCGCCATATCCATACTTTCCAATTCTGTGTTTTTCTTCATCTATTCTTCCCCCTAATTTGGCATTGAAGTCTCCAATTATTAGCGTCAATTTAGTTTTCTTTTCTTCCATAGCGAGTGTTAGTTCTTCGTAGAAGTTTTCAATATCTTCATCTGTATATGAACTTGTTGGCGCGTATACCTGTATAATTTTTAAAGACGTTCTTTTTAATTTAAGCATAATGTAGGCTGCTCTGTCTTATATACCCTTAATGGATTGTATGTATCTGACGACTTTCTTGTTTATTATAAAAGCAACTCCGTTGTTAGAGTTATCTTCATTGCCTTTGTAGTACAGCATGTTTCTTGAGTTTAATAGTATTTTTTGTTCACCTTTTCTTCTTATCTCTGACAGACCAATGACATTCCATTGTATAGTATTTAGTTCTTCTTCTAATTCGTAAAGTTTAGTATCATCATTCATGGATCTGATGTTATATGTTCCTATGTTTAGTTTAGTCGAATGTTTGCCTCCCCCAGAATCCTTGAGGCAGACCGGTTTGTCAGTGTGGGACTTCGAGATGTTATCTCTACCCACCTGGGGTAATTTTCCGTTTGTTTTGTGATTCGACATGTTTGTTGAAGAGGGTTTTTTGACATTTAAACGCCACGCTTGTCAGGCGGGTTGGCGAGTGAGGAAACTTAGGAGTGTGTGAATGGGGAAAGGCGCAAGTTACGCAGTTTGTGTGTAGGGTGCGCGGCATGTATATCCCACACACACCCCCCGCGTAAAATGGGCCTCTTCCACTCAAACACGGTTAAGGTTTTTTAGTATCGACGGTAAATCCTTGCGACTGCAGACTGCGTCATAAGTAGGCCACCGGCTACAGTCTTTTGACTATAGCTCATTTTAATAATGCAATTACCTGGGCTGCCTTCACTGGTGAAATATCCCTTTATAAGATATTCACTTACTTCACTTTGAAGTGTAACCACATATCCACGTTTGAAAAGCGACTGAGACGACCACCGGCAAACTCACAGATGTCTGCAAAACAATTATTTTTTGGAAACTCTATAATAGATAATTTTTTTGCATTAGTTACATAAAATTACTATGCATAATATCTACGTCATCGGAGTGAGTAGATTTTTTTTGCTTGTAAGTGTATATACTAATATAAAAATCTATAAATATCTATAAAAAAGCATTTAACGAGTTAAATAAAAATAACTTTAACATAATATTCTCTTCGGTAAAAAATCTCATCGTAAATATATCAAAAAAAAACCGCAATTAAAATCTTATGAAGATTAAATTGATCATGACTTTAATATATTTTAATTAATATATAAATGATTCGCTTTACCCCGAAAATTATAAAGGAAGTTTCGGAAGACCTCCTACCGTCTTTTAAAACTTCTAATGAGTTTTTTCGGCACCCGAACTTCGCAAAGTATTATAAATCCATTACTTTCAACTAAATTTATTTTACACGTTAAAAGGATACTCACCTTAATTTTGGTAACTCGCAGTAAACCCATTCTGAAACATCCTCGATCGGAATTTCTCTGTGCGTCGATGTCAAATCTAATTTATTACCCGCTATCACTATGGGTATTTCCTGATAATCCCCTCGCTGTTCTCTAATTTCCTCGAAACACTGTTTTATACAGTCCAAAGATGGGGCAGATGTAACCGCATAGACTAAGAGGAAGGCGTGGGCTGTGGCTATACATAATCGTCTCATGGCTGGAAATTGCATATCACCAGCCGTGTCTAGTATATCCACCTAAAATTTTTTATTTTTTAGAATGTTTTATGAAGTATTCGTTTAACTTTAAAAAAATCGACTTGTTTTGTTGTATTTTTTTTAAATCATTTTTCAACTTGCGATGTTTTGACATAAAAAGTGTTATCTGGTTAAGGATTTTAATACAATATTTTGTTTAATTAGATGATTAGAAAATATTAATGAAACAATACGAACACAACTAAAAACTTTATTCGATAGAAATACAAAAAAAAAGGTTTAAGGTAGTGGGATAAGTTGTCGTAGAATAGCCTAAAATGTTCTGGAATGTAGTTTTTTAATTCTTGAAGGTGATTTATCAGGCTTAATTTTTAGAGGAGCGTTATGCAATTGGGGTATATCCAAATTATTTTGAATTGCTCTGTTACGCCTTGGTAATGGTGTCCAATGGTCCTGGTATAATCATTTATACTTAATCGCACCATCACAACGGTATGCCAGTGTTCTGAGATCAGTTACTTTAGGATCTCCCTTAGTATTGCCAGGACGACTTGAAGAAAATGTTTTGATTACCGAATAATCTTAAAAAAAGGAATAATTTAAGTAGTCAACTTCATAAGGATCTTTTGCCTTAGCAGACCTACAAATGTCAACATAGCATCCTGATACATACACGACACGATTTCTAAGTTTACGCTCAATACACGCATGAATCGAGTAACACTCCATTTGAGTATGATGCTTTTCTAGATAATATTAAAATATTATAACACCTGATGTTCTTGATAAGTAAGAAAGAGCATTCGAAAGCGTAACGTTTCGAGTTTTGGTAGCAGCATCCGTCGCTGCAGCAAACAACGGATTTAGTAGCCGGAGATATATTTCTTTTAATATAATCTATAATAATGGAAGTGAACTCGTTTGCTTCAACCCCATTTGAACCCCCATGCCATACATAGCAATGAACTTTGCCAGTGGACAAATTATAGAAGCTATAGTTGTGAACAGTTAGCTTCATTTTCATATGCAGCTGATACTTGTAATCTTGGTGCTGTTAATATTGCCTGTGCATCCATAGTCAAAACAAATTTACTGTTGTCCTTACTAGCCTCTTCTTTTAGTTTTTCCTTTTCAGCACGAGCTAAATTTTTTTTCTCCAAATGCTGCTGAAACTGTTCATCATTTATTTTGCTGACAGAGTGCCCAGTGCAAGTGTAGCACTGAGCTTTCCTAAAAAATAAAAATTCTTGTAACAAAAAAAAACTTTTTCTACTGTTCTGATTGCTTAACTTACTTTGGCTCAAATAAGGCTATACGTTGCTTATCGAGCTCCTGACAAAAAGTTGTATTACTCAGTTTGGCTATCTTTGCACCCACACATTCATTGGTATAAAATTTGTATAGTTCATTATCACTGGTCCACTGTGTATCTAAATACAATTTATTAGTATCTTGCCTACAGTAGTGGCTCTCCATTTTTGGAATTTTTTCTAAAAACTGGATTAGGAATGCTTTATCTTCGGATATCTTGCCTTTTCTTGAACTGTTTGTAGTTTGAACTGCAATGTTTTGTACTCCTTGACTAATCCAATTTTGCACACTCCATTCGCCTATACATAATGTTTGCAGAAACATTTTCTTGCATACCCGTGTTCGAGAATTAGTTTTCTTAAGGAAAAAATATACGAAGTACTTCGTTGCTTTTCTGGAGTAACTGGTTTGTAAAATGTGATTTACGGAAACAAATTTTTATAAATACCTGTTCGATGATACTTTGCCGGACCTTTATTAACAAGGCTGGTTAGATTCTGATTTCAGTCCAAATTTTTCCAAAACATATTAAAAATATTTTTTCTGACGTCGTCTTCAAAAATATTGCAAAAAATTTTGGAGATCTTTGCGAATTCTTACATTGATATGAAGGTCCTATCTTTCGCTCGTCTCGTTAAACTTTTTTATACTTTTTGTCATCTTTATCTAGTTTACAGGATTGGTATGATTCCCCCTTCATTCCTTTTAGTTTATTTTTATTTCATTCTTAGGTTAAATAATTGACGTCAGATTTCCCTGATATTTTTCTCATTACGGGCGATGTTACTGTTTCTGTCTCATTTAGTAATTCATTTAGCAACTGGTTATGTGTTTCTTCATTTGATTCATTGGACTCGGTTGATGCCATATATTCCGATCCACTGTCTTGGAAAGGTTCGCTTTTGGAAATTTCATCTTAAAAATTTGGCATATCAGTGGTTATGTTTACGTTATTTGATACCGCTGATGGTCGTTCCTCGACCACGCTATTAACTTCTTGAGGTTCCTCTGAGCTGCTACTCTATATTGTACTGTAAAAAACATCAAATTAATAACCAATAAATTATTAAAATATGAAATTAAACTAAATTAAGAATACTTATCTTAAAAACAACAATTATTTTAAGAACTCAATCATCAGAAGATTGATAGTACATAGTTGAATTCATTAATAATTAATTCAACTACTGATAAGAACCTGAGTTCTTGAAACATTTGTCAAGACTTTAAGGTAAGTATTCCTAATTTAGTGGAATTTTACATTTCAATACTTTATATATTGTGAATAGATTCCACAAGGTAAGGGTAACAACAATCACTAAAAAATTCATAACCAATATTTCATAATCTATTTTACAATTCAATAGCATAACGTTAACTTTTATAATTCACTTTTGTATAAAAGTATTTTATAAACAATGATTATTTGTTTTATTGTAATTTACACCATACCTACTTTTTCAGTGAGTTTAAAGAAAACAGACTTAACTTCAAACGATAAATAATAAAAATGTAAGAAAAAAAATCATTTACCCATCTGTATCAGCTTGCAACACTAAATTCAAAATTGTTTATCCACTACAAGACATATTTTTCAAAACAAGACAACAAAACTGCGTTTATTCATAAGAGTGAAACACAAAACCTAAAAAAACACTTGCCGCATTCCGGTAAAACCTCGCAACATTTTTATTACTACATAAAATATCGGAGCAAATGCCAATATAAAAAACTCGTAAGTTCTACTTAATAGGTTTCTGCTTTACCCTTTTTGCTAAGGAGTTTTTACCACTTTTGATAGATGGCACTAGAGGTCTTAATGTTGAAATAGACTTATGAGGATTTGCAGTTTCTTCTTCACGAGCCATCTCCGCGACGGAGATGGCTCGTGAAGAAGATTCCCGCATTCCCTCAAGTTACGCAACCATAAGATTCTTTTTCTTCCTACACTTCTCTTGTACTGGATTTTCCCTTGTATAATCATTTGAAGTATGTTGTATCTCTCATTACGCATAACATGCCCCAGGTATTGCAGTTTTAGTATCTATGATGCAGTTTAATAGATAGCAATATATACAAATTATTGGTAAATTAATCCCAAAACTGGAAAGTTTTTACTTCAGAGGTTTTGCACTTTAGCGATCGATTTATTAAACCTTCAAACCAAGTACCAAGATCGTCTAATTAATACCCATTCAAAAACACCATAATATTATATCTTAACACACAGATAAAAACAGAAATTAAAATGAAAGCGATACTGTAGAAAAAACTACAAAATTCAAAGGAAATCAGATTCAAAGAATCGGCTCCCATAAGTACAAGCAACCGATTTGAATTATTATCCATTCAACAACCTGAAGCAGATAATTTAAATCCTTCCAACTTCGGCAATACCCTACGAATATAAAATTCTTTAGGTCCTACGCCACTTAGACAAGCGAATCTTGATAAATTTGCGCTTCATTTTTTAAACTGTTAGTTGGCAAAAAGTGAATTTTAATTTCTCACAATTAAATAATTACAAATACATAGTATTTCAAAGTGTAGTGCCTAGATAACCAAAAACTATAAGTAGAGCTAATATATTCAAATAACGTTATACTAAATGAAAACTAAAAATCCATTTAACATGTTCGCTACCAAGGGGGTACTTAAGTTTTGTTTTTGAATAGACTATGTATACTTATGTCAAATATTAAAAAAAACCGTTACCTGTTTGTAATTTATGTAAAACCGGACATGAATATTTAGTTGCCGAGAGACTTTTATTCCGGCTCATATATAAGACGTTGGTCTATAGCATAACCAAAAGTATTATATGCCATTGGTTTTTATATTATATGTGAGACATAAAAAAAAGTTTAAAATTTACGCAAACTAAAATGTAATTAAAAAAACACAAGTAAAAAACACAACACTGGAAAAACTCAAAAACATATGATTATGTGAAAAAAAGTACAAAGTATCTACTCGCTGCTTCTTGGTATTCTGGAAAACAGGGGACCACATCAATTAAATGCCCATTTTTGTCTTTAGTTTTCACAAACAAAATATATCCGGCTGTTCTTGTTTTTTGAGTCGCAAATTCGACCCCTTCTTTGTTTTTTTTTGGGATAATATGTTGTAGGTTTTGCCTGACTTTTTCTTGATAAGTGTAAAATATTTTGAAATAGTCAAGTATTAGTAGCCCTCTGAATAATTGTAAGTAGGTACTTTTTTGTTCTAAGCCTTGGTTTGCAAATAGGTGCTATTCTATAAGCATATATTCAGAAAATGGAAAAATATTTTTATGTACCACATTATAATTTTTCTTGGTGTTGTATAATACGACAGTATTTGGTCCTGTCCACACCAAACATATTTATATTCTAGTCGACTACCACACTTGGTTTTACTTTTCTTTTCCGGGTTATGAGTAACTTTCTCAGATGCAGATTGATTAAGAAATTCTACAAGCTATTGTAATAATTATCTAAATACAACGTGTGACCTTTTTCAAAATATCGTTCGGCTAGTTTTATAAGCACAGCTTGTACATGGCCAACGTTATCGTTAACTGTGTTTTTTTTTCAGAATTACCTAGATATTCCAGAACTAAGCTGTCCGGGGTAAAAAGCTCATAAAACTTTATTCCCTGTTCTATGTGTAATATAAAAAGCCTGGGCTAGGAAAAGGAAAATTTG